GTGTGGATTCGGGGGAATCCCTCATAGGATTGGGATCAGGAACGGTGCAGGTGCTTTGGGAAAGGTTTGTGGAGTGTTTGTGAAGCGTCTTCCTTCGCTCCCCACCTGTGCAGGTGTGTGGGGTGTGACAGGGTGGTGGCCTGTGGTGCCACCTGGCACCGTGCTGGCGCTGAGGCTCCCATTTCTTCTTTTCCCACCCCGTGGAAGGCAAAGCCGAGGCTGTGTCGGGTGTTTTTCCTGCCCATCGCAGCACAGAGGGASCTCAGCCCCTGGCACAGCACCCTGGCAGTGTTGTACCCTGCTTGGATCGCTGCAATCCCTGAATTCCYGCAGTTCCCAGCTGGCTGATGTTCTTCCTGAGCTGCCAACAGCTGTCACTGAGCCCCTGGGATCGGCYGGGATCCTCATGGATCTTCATCTCRGGGGCTTTTCTAGGCTGGGCATTTGTCCCCTCAGCACCCCCCGAGCCTTGGCTTTGTCCTGCACCCCAAAACCTAAACATCAACTTCTTGAGGAGCAGGGAACCTTTTTGGGATCACCCTTCACCCAGAGGTGCCACGTGTTCCTGGGGTGATTCCCTCAAGGAGAGATGGGCTCTGCTTTGTCCCGTGTGCTGTCCCTTGTGAATTGTCACCATAAATCACTTTTCCCKCGGGGACAGAGCCCCGTGACCTGTCCTGGCTCGGGAAGTCACTCAGCACCTCGCAGTCATTCCCCRTGCTGCCGATTCCAGGACGAAAGGGGCATTTGGAAACGCTTTTTCCTTGCTTGAGAGAGCTGCAGCCCCAGCTGACCGCCTTGATGTGGAAAATCTGAGTCCTTTGACTGGCACAGGTGCCCTCTCCTCTCTCTCTCTCAAGGAAAAACCCRTGTGGCAAGGAAAAACAGGGTGCTGGAGCTGCRTCCCRGCTGGAGRATGGGGGGAATCGGGGTGTTTGTCCCCTGTGGAGGTCCCCAAGAGCTGGGAAGTGCAAGGAGCAGGGTTTGGCTTCCTCAGAGCCAGTGGGAATCATGAATCTATTGTCTTCTTGTTTTTGAGTTTATCCCTGTTCCCTGAGAAATCTGCAGCCTGGAGATTTGGGATGTGAGGGGTGAGAAAAGAGAGAGAGCTCCTGTTCCCAGCTGGGCAGGCGGGCACCTGCCAGCGGGAAAGGGATGGGGAGGATGAGGAGRAAAACCCACCCAAATGGAGCTCCTCGGGGATTTTCATCCGCACCTCCTTCCCCCTGGTCGGAAACTCGAGTTCCATCTCAGTATTTCAATTATAACTCAGGTGTTGTAGGAGAGAAGGCGCCGAAACAAAAAAGAGCGTTAACTTAATGTCACGTGAATTGTACAGATATTTGTAAAATTCCATAAATAAAATATATTCTGTAATGACGGAGGGGCCCCGGGCGTGCTCCAGCAGTGAAATCCTCTTTGCTGGTGTGGGATGGAAGGGTGGGAGAGCTGCTGGCTCAGGATTTTTTCCCGAGRGGAAGGGTTGGGTGATGCAATCCCATTTTTCCAGCTGGATTTTCCGTGGCTGTGCAGTGCGGCGCGGCTGACGGGAGGTGGCACTGACAAACCCCCGGCCCGCCCGCATGGCACGGCCTTTGCGGCTCCAAAAAAAACCAAAAAAAAAAAACCTGCCTTCATTGTATTTTAGATATCTATATTTTAATTTATCTGAAATATATTTCCAAGCCGTTTATCTGAAATGTATTTCCWGCTGGGTGGGAGGTGTGGGATGCTGGATTCCTCTCTGGTTTATACGAGCCCAGCTCTGGGCAGTATTTCTGTCCTGGTTTTGTTTTCCCACCCTGCATTCGGAGGGGAAAAAAAAAGCAAACTTTGCTTTTCTACTTTTCTACTTCCCCTTTTTTTTTTTTTTTTTTTTTTTTTTTTTTTTTCTCACTAGCTCCACTCTTGCAGATGAAATGGGTCTGGGTAAAACAATACAAACAAGCCTTTTTCTACACCGTTTCCCCCCAGCTGCCAGCTCCGAGCAGCAAATGCAATTTTTAGAAACCCTGTTGCAGCTTAAGAAACCAAATCTTGACATTCTGGGGTGTTTTATAAAAAAATTAATGCTTTATTAAGGAAGGAAGGTCACAGCATCTGACTTGCTCCCACTCATCAGTGCTTTGGGTGGGCTCTTTTCTGCTGCAAAATCCTTGTGTTTTGGTGAATGCCTGAAACCTGAATTTTCTCAGCAAATGGTGCTGGATGGGGTCATGGAATCCCTGGAAAGGTTTGGGGAGGAATTT